ATAAAATATTGTTATGTTTAGCAATTATTATGATTAGTATCTTAATTTAAATCTATTTATTTTATTTTATTTTATTAGTTCCTCTTCTTCAAGTTTAATGACTATCATAGCAATATAACTCGAATAGACAGTATCCCATCTGAGCTAGTTAACTTTACGTAATAATACTCAAAAGCTTTCTGATGACATTGTCAATATTATAAATAATATATATTTTGCTGAAACTACCAATTTAGCAACTTTAAAACTACTTTAAAATAGCTATAAAGTAACTATAAAATAACTATATAGTTATTTTATAGTCCCTATAGTTTTACATTTACTTTAGAGTAGCAATACGCTTACTACTTCTTACTACTATTTTACTATTACTTTGCTACAATGTTACTATAGTTTTACTATAATTTTATAAAATTTTTTTTTAAAAAAAAGTTTTAAAATTTTGTTTTTTAAAAAAAATTGTAGTAAAAGTATAGTAATGTTGTAGCAAAATAATAGTAAATTAGTAGCAAGTAGTAGTAGACATATTGCTACTCTAAAGTAAATATAAAACTATAGTTACTTTATAGCTATTTTAAAGTAGTTTTAAAGTTGCTAAATTGGTAGTTTCAGCAAAGTAGTTTTGGATAGTATTAGCCAATCTTCAAGAACTTTTGTACCCTCTTTGTAGTTTTTTGAATAAATTACAAAAAAACATAGCTTGATGATATGAAGTTCTCTATTGATTTGGGTATATAATAAAAATATTCGAATATCATAAAGATCTTGAATTCAGGGCAAAAATAAAAGCATGTATTGAATTACGCTAGAATGAGTGAGAACAACTTTTAATCTTTCTTTTTTTTGCGCTATATCCTAAATACAAACTTACTAAATTTAATAGCATAGTTGCTGATCTATCATGGATACATATTGGACAAAAGCTCAAATATTATTATGAGACATAGTTTAATTGTAAACCTGTATTTATCTTAGTGGAATTAATAAAATACAACCAGTGATTTGATCTATATGATATGGAATCATTTAAACAGTTTAAAGGAAATTTGGTAAATTTATGAGAATCAACCAAAAGAGTAGATTCAGAATTAGTATGAGTAGCAATTCATGTTCATAGAATTTGTATTAACTCTGTTTCTGTAGAACATTTGTGGTCTTCCATGGGGCTATTACATTCTAATCACAGAGCCCAGCTGCAGGTTTATATATTTTCTATTTATTTTATAACAATTAAGGTTAAAGAATATTAAAAAATAATAAATTTAATGATAAAAATATAGAAAGTTAATATAGTTTTTTTGTATAGAATATGACAAAAGTTTTTTTTTATATTAAGTAAGCCTTTCTTAAGTTTTCAATAAATATTATAGTACAAATTATTTTGGTTTTTATAGAATTATTAAAATTGATTTAGTAATTCTCGAACTATTTGCATTTTTCTTTAATAGTTATATAGTTGTTCAAAGCCTTTAGCATTTTAATATAATATGAAAATAATAATAGTATTTTACCAATTTTTATTAATAAATTTATACTCTTTAACTATGATTACTATAAATTAATTTTGATTAATATTTTTTTATAATATCATAGCAAAGTAAAGTCTTGGCAATGAATCAAATTCAAAGTGATATCTTTTGGTCTTGTAAAATCAAGAACGCAAAAGAATATAATAACCAAATTTGCAGACTATATATTGCAACATCTATATTAAATGATGAAAATATTAAACAAGAATTAATCATTACTAATTTAGATTATCATGTAAGTGACAACAATGATGTTGAAGAAAAGATAACTACCAGATCTTATAATCAAAAAAATCAAAGTCTTGAAGAAAATAAGAATCTTGTTATAGAAAAGAACAAACATAAAAAAATCTAATTAACAAATGGATTGAGTTTGGAGAATGCGAGAACTAATTTGAAAATAAAGATGACGAAATTTATTGTCAGGTGAATAGAAAGCGAATTTTAGCTTAGGAAAGTGAGAAAAATATCCTGTTGATGATAAAACAGCCAAATAGCATTTAGATTTACTTATTGTTTCTTCATTAGAAATACCACTATATTTCAATTCAGAACTTACTAATTTTTAATGAAAAAGACTTTTTTTTAATTAAAAAAAAAAGAGAATTGGATCAAAAAAAGATAGATATAAAGCATAAGTGCAGGACACTCATTAAGTTACAAATATTTAGAATATTATATTAAGTAATGAGATAATCTAGTAATATAAGTGATGCAGATGATCAGTTATTGTTTGAATATAGAATTAAAGCTGAAAAAACAAATACAAGACATTCATTTATTACCAAAAATCACTATTATAGATAATGATATAGAAATAAATTTGGTTGGTGTATATTATAAAAAAGAAATCAGAGTCGAATGTAAATTGGAAAAGGTAAAGTGCTTATTAACTGTTAAAATAAAAAGCATTTATATTTACAGATAATACAAGAAATTTATTGTTAAAAATGGGAGATCTAGTGTAATTGGCATTGGAAATAAATGTAAATATTAACAATTTATTTAATTATTAATATATATATTATCGCCAATTCTGTCAATTAAATATATTTTATAAATATTATTATAGAATATAATTTCTTGATATTTTTTTAACGAACGAATTATTGTATTTTATCTTTAAATAGCTCATAAATTAGTAATAAGTAACAAGTGATATAGAAAATAAATTTATAAAGATTCTTGTTTTTTGTATTTAAACAGACCTGTATTATTAGGATTCAGATTTTTGTTAAATATATGTCTCACGTATAATGCGTACACACATAGATCATTGAGATATATGATATATATAGTACTAAATAAAAATTTAATATTAGTAAAACAAAGTTAATTGATATGTTCTTTGATTGCAAATTTCAAAGACTATGAAAATTTAATTAGATATATAGTCTTTAAAACTAGTTATTATAAATTAAAATTTTCACACATTAAGGTTATATTTCAAAGAACAAAGTTACAAAGCCAAATAATTGCAATTTCTATTGGATAGGATTATGATCTAGATCATAATTCATAACTCATATTTTTATAATCTTATAATCTATAATAGTCATAAAGATCATAAAGATCATAATAGGTTATATGCCAATACTGGATATAGATATTCAAAAAACTGGCATATAGTTTGTTTAATGCAGAAATACAAGAAATGGATGTCTATACGAATAGTGACTATGAGATAATGATAGCCAGAATCGACCTCAAACATCTTAGTGCATCTCAAAGTATCACAACATGCAGAAAAAATAAACAAATATAAATAGTTTTTCTTTGTGATAAGGTATCTGAAGAGAACTGGAAAAATTATAAAAAGCAAATGAATAGTTTACTCAAAAAAAGCACAAATAACAAGCTTGATGAAGAAAACCTGACAATAAAGAGAGGAATTTTTAGAATTAAATAAACTTTGAGATATTATAAGCAAGTCAATTCTTGCATCAGCAAGATGTAATCTGCCAAAGAAGAAAGTTTGCAACATTAGCAAAATTTTTAAGCAGATATATATCGATATATTATATCGATTAAAAATTATCGATATATATCGATTAACTGCTATATATTGATATATATCACTAATGATAAATAACGATTATTGATATATAATGATTATAATCACTATCGATAAATAACAATTTTATAAAATTTGACCAATTTTTTTTAAACTTTAACATTAATTTTCTCGATAACTATTGATCCAAATCAGCTCAAATTTTTACCACATATAGTATA